GAATACGTCGCGCTTCAAGCACGCATCGACGATGCGAGCGACACGACCAACCGAATCGTCGGCGTTGGGTGGTCGACCAAAACCGTTGCGCGCGCCGCCCAAGGACACGCTGATGGCGAGAGTACTTGCCCTTCAAACATCGCTGCAGCTTTTGTTACGTCGTCAATACCAATCGTTTGCACAAGATCAGATGCAACAAGCAACATGGTCGACGTCGGGTGGTCGGCCATCACCGTCACGACTGCGTCCATCGAGGCGACCACGTGCACACCTGCAACAACAGCGCTCGTTCGTTGCCGATCGAGGTTACTGTCGTAGATTCACGTCGTAAGTATATCGAGTAAAGGACGACCAGGATTGCTCAGGGGTAGATTTTCCGTGTTGACCCAACGCCACGCCTGCAAGATCGGCGCCTTGCTTCCGCTCGTCCCTGACGACGAGTTGCTCGTCGTAAGGTAGCAACTACAGTACAGTACTAGTAGTAGTAGGTACTGCAGTCGTTTGATTTCACATTTCGAATCGTGGAGCAAAGTGGTGTTGAAGCTCCTGGTCGATGATCCGGAAAAAGAACCAATCCACCATCGTCCGGATAAAAAATCGAATCGAATCCTGCTCCAAACGCAATTTCGCTGGCATGGGAGCCGTAGACCGTCCGACGCACCACGTTGCGGTCGCCGTACTTGTCGTTGCCTATGTGCTTCTGTGGCAGCCAACGGCGCCTCTGCCAGCGTCAAGCAGCATTACCTTTGCCGTCTCGTCTGTGACGCCGGCCAACTTCTCCGGCGCTGTGCTCCACGACAGCGCGAACGCGATCGACCAACTGCCCGAGTACGTCAATGCTGGCTGTCGCCGCGTGCACCAGCAATCGCCGCTCACGATGCCATTCGTTCCGTCGACGGCGGGCTTTCTCGATGGCGTCGGCATGGCGTACGCCCAGCACCTCCACTTGGTGCTGCGGCCCGACGACATTTGGCTGGCGCTCATGAGCCAGTTTGCTCTGTACGTCGACGGTAGCAGCGAAGAGCTTCGGTCGCAGCTCGTCAAGCACCGCAAAGGCAAGATCGAGCTCCAGGTTTTATTGGATGGCGGCAGGGTCGACACGATCGACTTTGGCTTGTGTGCGAATATGATGATCGACGAGATGCGCGCGCACTTGGTGGACCCGACGCTCGCCGACGTCTTGCTGCCCAACTTTACGACGACCACGCTCCACGATCGCATCACGGCGAGCATTCTGACCATGGCCACGATGAAAAAGTTCTTCGACTACAAGATTCTCATCTCTTGTGGGATTCCAACGGTGACGCTCCGTGGCTCGGTGGACGACTGGCAGCAAATTCGGTCGCGCATCGAGCACTTTCGGGCGTATGGCGACCGTATGCAGACGTGGGTCAACCTTCTCAGCGGCGTCCTCGATCAGTTTGTGGCGGCGGCCCGTGGCGAGCCCGACACTGCGTTTTGGCAAACCATCTACCACAGCACGTACCAAGGCTGCGGTCAACGCTATGTGAGTGGCTGGATGAGCGTCTTTGCCGTCTTTAACAAACAAGGTCGATGGCAGGGCGATGAGCGTACGACCAGTTCCGGCAAGACGTCGCTGTACCCGATCATTGCGGCGGACGCCCTGCCACCGGGTTACGGCACGGTCGACGTCGAGATTGATGAAATCGGCGTCAAGACAAACGCGATCATGCTGGCGGGCCACATGGCGTATGCGATCCAAGACAACAACACGATCGTCCCGCAGCTGGGCTGGGCCATGGCGCTCACGCCCCAAGTATTTCGAGTGGATTTATCCCAGCGGAAAAAAATTTGAAGTCGACTAGTAGACAGACACGGCGATGCTTTTGATCCCGTGTTGCTAACTAGAAAAGTCGTTGAACTTTGTGTGCTGTCCTATCCAGCAACCGCGCCTCGCCCAAGCTCGCAACATGTTCGCAAGCAACGGTGGTCAAACGTTATCCGGACAAACGATCCATCGGCGCCCCTCGTCTCGACCTGGTTGGAGGCTTCTTTGGTCAAAGTCTGTTGTGCAGTGTATATATACAGTGGCAACACTGTCAATATTGTTCTTGCAGTAGTGCTATCCAAGAACCACTCCTAGCCGCAGCTCGCAAGCAACGGTGGTCAAACGTTATCCGGACAAAAGAGCAACACTCTTGCCAATCTCCTGGCCGTAAATAACCTCTTAACATTTGTATGCTTAACACAAAAATAGAATGCAATTGACTCCGACCATCATTCACGTTCTGCCAGGTGGTCGCGCCAACAACCAGCGCAGTCACCAAGTCCGAACCCAGGACCACCGACACTTGTCACGTCATGACAAAGTCGCAAGACGACGCCGGCATGAGCGCATTGCAGCCAGCGCCGACCATGACGCCAGCTCCGAGGTACCGCGGCCTGCGCAGCACCGGCGCGACCTGCTACCTCAACAGCCTGCTCCAAACGCTCTTCCTG